GGGGGCCAAAGCAATCCCAGGATGGGTGACCCACTGAGAAGTTGCTCGTGAGCTCCCATAAACAAAACCGTGAGGACAAAGAGGGGGGCCCAAAGCGGACAATATCGTGCTAGGGGAGTCGGGTCGTGACAAAATGGTATCAAAGCTGGACCCCGACCGGAAGTGTGCCAGTGAGGACACTGGGCCCCAAGGGGGGTGGATTGTAAGACCCGTGTCTTGGGGAAACAAGAACGGTGAGCAATCCCACATCGCTCGAGGAGGGAAAGGTGACGTGCTTTAAATGTGTGGGCACTTCTCTTCCTAGCACGAGGCCTTTTGGGAGCTCACTGGCTTCGGATTCTTAGGAACTCCGAAGTTAAGCGAGTTGGGGGCCGGAGCAATCCCAGGATAGGTAACCCACTAGGAAGTTGCTCGTGAGCTCCCAGAAACAAAACCGTGAGGGCAGAGAAGGGGGCCCAAAGTGGACAATATCGTGCTAGGGGAGTCGGGTCGTGACATACACAATCATATTGGCTATTATTATCTGCTAAAGCTAGCTAGTTACTGATGCAGGACGCGTAGGACCTAAATATATTAGTTTCTTAATGTATTTGTTTGTTTCCTAGATTCTCTAGTTTTCCAATTATTAGTAGGATTTCTACTTTTCCAAATTTCCATATTTCTAGTTTTAAGTTTCTTATTTTATTTGGGTTAGGATTTCTGTTTAAGTAAGTGATTTTTATCCTATTATTTCTAGGTTTTAGTTTGCTTTAAATAATCCCATGTACTTCTTTAAAATTCATATTTGAATGTTGAGTAAACCTTTTCCTAGAACTCTTTGATTTCGTCCCTTCAATCTATATTTTCTTCTCCTCGATCTTCGATATTCTTCTTACCTTTATCTCGTCTTTTCGATCTATATTTCTTCTCCTCTATCTCTTATATTCTTCCATGTTCGATTGTTTAAGCGCTTAATCTAATACCTACGGGCTATACTACATCAATTGGTATTCAGAGCCTGGTTACTCCACTGTTGTTCCTCTGCTTTGTTGCGTTTACTTGTCGCCAAGGCTCCCAACATCACCGTTGCCAATTTGGCTGCATAACTTTAGGAATTCTAGGTGAAAATTTTTGCGGATGCCACCAAGCTGGAAGATCAGGTCTCCAAATTGACGGCTGATCAAAAGACTGAATTTTTGTCCATGTCAACAGATATTGCCAAGTTACAAGCTTCCGTGAGGCTGATTGTCAACAACCTCAACTCCTGAGCCATCCTCCCCATGCGTTGTTCAATCCGATCCATTCACACCTTCTCCATACGCTAGTCTCCTTCCCAACCCGTCTATGGATTCCAAGTTCCAAGGCCACCTGGGCCTTCCATCATCTTCTGCGGGGATGTCTATGGTTTAGCCCGAACCAACTTATGCTTTGGGATTTGCGCCTAAACCACATTATACCCAACATACGATGGGTTCTCCTTTGGTGAACACCACTATCCCTCCCCTGTAGCCCCGACCCCACGAACAGAATGTCGTCCACATAAACTTGGGTTTTGAGATCGCCCGTCATGCCAAGCCTACCGCTTCTGACTTCGATGGTTGTGGGGATCCTACTCTCTTTGTTGATTGGATATTGGCTATGGAAGATTATTTTGAATGGTATGATATGTCTGATGCACAACAGATCTAGTTCACCAAACTCAAACTGGTAGGAGCCGCAAAGCAATACTGGAAGGCTACCGAGCACCATCTTCAACAACTTGGACAAACCCCTGTGATTTTATGGGACGAGATGAAATTGAAACTTCGGGAACAATACCTTCCATCTTTTTATCTAAGACATGAAATTGAAGAACATTATTCGCATGTTGTCATTCAATAGGACCAATCCTGTAGATGTTCATGCATAGAGTGCATATAGTAAAGTAGTTATTACCTTGTCTCTTCGTTATCTTTCTTCTCCATATATAAACAGAAACGATGCATGCAAGAAAAATTCCGCTTGTAACAACTGCCACAACTATCAGTATCAGAGACACTAGCACTTTGCTTCTTGGTTGTTCTTCCATTTGCGGTTTTGGTGTCTGTTGAAGATTACCTTCTATAAGAAAGCAAGAGGAAATTCTACATGTGAATTATCATCATGTAATTAGATTATTGAAGTGAACAATCTAAAACGATATGATGCATTTATAATGAGCCAATTAAATGATTGGATTTATCAGTCAAATTCTACTTAGTTTCAGTTATTTCTATGATTTCTACTCAGACGGACAAGCATTGGTCTCAACATAAATTGATTTGCAGTAACAGGTTCATGCATCAGCGCAATTTTATGCCTAGCCTAACATGGCGTTCTCACCTTGAGTACAATTTAAGTTAAAGCAACTCCATTGATAATTGGCATTGCAAAGGCATCTGTTCTTTCTATCTCTTACTGGACTGCAAGTTAAATGTGGCCAACCCCTGCAATCTGCAGATGTTGTACAGGTTGGTTCCAACGGCAGCTCGCAACCTAACTCTAACATTAGTACCTCCGGATGAAACTTGAGAACTAAAATTGCCCAGGTGAACATTGCCCCAACTAGTCACATTGAATGGAAATGGAGGGTTCAGCTGTTGACTTTTGACTCTGTTTATAGCATCACAATTATCTACATTTTTGGCTTGGATGACGAATCTTTGTGTACTTGGGTTGATACTAATAACTCTAAAGAAGGTGCCTTTCGGTCCCACGAAGCTAACCTGGCCTGTGATGGTGCTGCAATTGAAACGAGAGTACATGGGGTCACCGCAATCCGGTCCAGTGCTTAGGGGATAAGGAATGATGGTTGTGCCACAAGGCTTGCAGTCTCTTACGGTTGATTCTGCATAAGATGTAATTTCTTGACTGTCATAATGAACTAAAACATTAGCATTAACCTCATGCTTCTGCAATCATGCTCACATGTAAAAGCTTAACATAGAATGCTTCTAGTATATAACATGGACTATTTGTGTATGTGTGTAGAGTTTGTTATTCCTACGCATGTATGACATCCC